GTGTGTGTGTGTGTGTGTGTGTGTGTGTGTGTGTATAAACATTAAATTATAAATAGAATATTATATATAATACATATCTAATTTATAATTTATTGAATACAAGTATAAAAATAGTCTGATTGGACGGATTGTTCGTTAATGTACTACTTATTGAGCGTTGAAAAAAGTCACGAAGGAAATTGAAGAAACGTTAATATATCCCTTCAAAATCCTTTGTCTAGACTACATAAAAATAAGATAGTCTATTTAAAATAAAAAATTTACAATTCGTTGAAGAAGTTTTGAAACATCTTCCTTCAACCTTTCTCACCTCTTTAACATTTAAGTAGTAATACATAAAAAGTTTCGAGTGTAAGCGAATAAAAGATCTTCGAGAATTGTCGGGGGTAACTTTTTTACATTTTTAAATATGCTAATACAAATTCTTGATTCTACACTTCCTCCAAATATCCGCGATCGGCTTTTTATCAAATGTCTTCATTTATAATCTTTTTAATCCAAAGGAGTCAGAGACGGCAGAAACTAATGTGAAGGTCCAAGAGCTCACATTCGTTCTCGCTCGCTTCGTGTACGCAGGCATTTTAAGACGGTTGAGAAAGCGACAGCGGTCGTTTAAGGTAATGGATTATGTCGCGCGAAAACGCCGTTCGTCGTCTTAGCCGTTTTAAAGCCGACAACGACGACGACGACGACGACGACGGAATATTCGTCCAGTCGCCATTCGTCTCTGCTCGCGCGTCTTCGTTCGCACGTGATACTCCTCTTTTCACCGACCATCCTCTTTCCATTCTTTCTCTGGCCGACCAACCCTCTGACTAAGACAAATGGCACGTATTTATTTCTCGGCACGTTGGCTAGTGGATTTCTCCTTTCTCCATTATGCATCGTCCTCGTTAAGCATTTCTCCGCTTTTTCTTTCCCTTTCATTCCCCTTTTTGTCCCAGAGTTCGCCCAACCGCGTTTCTTCGTTCACCCAGTCAATCTCTGGCCATGGTTGAGTTCTCCTAGTTCGCGGCCTTATTTTCCTTCATTGATCTGTATGTGAATGTACCGGCATAATACGTCGATTCACAAGAACGTTTGAACTTCCGGAACAATTGACTCGCTGTGGCAATTGCACCTATTGAAAACTTTGTTCTAACAACGAAACGGAGTAAGAGACGATATACGTCTTTCGAAAATCTCTGCCTCTAACTACTTCTGTAGGTATCAACTTGGACGACAGTTTTGGGATTTAATTTGTGAAATTTTCCTAATTAAAAAAAATAATATTCTTTTCGCGTAATAATTATTAAATGACATAAAAAAGTAAAAGAAACTTTAATTAATAATTTGTTTAGCTGCGATTACTTTAACATAAATTGACTAATTATTTCTTTCCGTGCTTCTCATCATATTTACACATAATTAAATATAATAGTTCGGTGCGCCATGAATGAACGTCGTGCATAATTAAAAATATGTCGCCATTTAGCAACGTAATAAGACGGGCTTCCGAGCTGTATCTCTATGTATTCAACGGAGCTATATTTTTCAGAACAGGCAGTAGAAGCTGCAAAAAGTTGCAAAAAGAAGAAGAAAGGAGACAAAACTTTGGCAATAGAGTCTTCCATCGTCGGTGATGTACCGTTAATAGCCTTAATTTAGCCTTATTATTTCCTGAAGAGAACTTTCATAAAACTTTGGCAAAGTTGCGCGATAGTTCGCTTGCATTCACACTAATCCATCTCGACTCTCTCACGTGTAATATTTTAAATACACTCGCTACAATATCGCGCCAACAATATCTCGAGAATCTCCCGACTTCCATTTTTCAAACAGAAAGCAGAGATTAGAAGATTATTGAAAGAAAAATGTAAACAATTGAATCGTATCTATGTATTCTCTAAATCTCGTAAAGTGAAATCTCATTCGAAGAAGTCTTGAAAAAAGAGTGAAAATACGGTCACTCTTGTTCAAGAATGGCAGATTTTTTTACTCTTTTTAGAGTGAGTTTTACTCCAAAGGAGTGAAATCTCATTCTAAAAGAGTAAATCTCACTTTAAAAAGAATGAAAATCTACCATTCTTGAATAAGAGTGATCGTATTTTCAAGACAGGCTAAATTTTCAATTTCTTTGAGATTTCACTCTCCGAGATTTAGAGAGTATACAACCAAAATATCTAGCAAATTATTATAATAACATTATTATAATAATATTTGAAGTTTATAAGTTTTACTTAGTAAAAATTGTATAAGTAATCATAAGTACTAAGTTTACCATACTTTACCTTGCAACTAATGATAATTTAATTTATTGCAGTCCATATTTTTTATGATGCTATGTGTTCGATGTGAATTACAATCTAATGAAGGACTGTACTAATTTTTAATATTACACGACAATCGAAAGACATGGAGGACGGAATAGTGAATCGAACTTACCTCCTAAACGTAATTCGGCTGTAGCTTGCACCATCTCGTAATCGTTTTTGGCAAAGCATTGATACATTCCTTTGTCGTCTCTCACGATGGAAGAGATACGCAAGGTCGAGCCGTCATTACCCGTGACTTTGCTCCTACCCGACGATCCTTCCCGCACAGGAAGACCGTCTTTCGCCCACGAGATCACCGGATGTGGCTGACCGGTGACGGAGCACTGAAATTCCGCGTCCTTCCCTAGATCCACCGTCACCTAGAGTCCACATAAAAACATATATATGTACAGTGCGACGAAATGTAATACATATAATATTTGATCAAAATCTCTGCGGTACAACAAGAAATATGATACTGAGAATGTAATATAATATTTACGATTTAGAATTCGTTATACGTATTATATGTATATATTGCACATGTACGTATAATATTAAATGTGCTGACGACATTGTAAATTAAATTTAAATTAACATTAAATCACATTTCATTATACGAATTTGCGATTTGCAAAGTTTAACTTTCGAAAATGAAATCACAAAACCTGTACAAGAAACATAGATTCAGTTTGCATATTCTAAATTCTGCGGCAGGATGAAACAAGTTTTAATAATCAATTATTCAATTGTCATACAATTAAAAAATCAACGCGAATACGATTTCAATGTGGATTCGCGCAATTTCGGTTTATCGAAATATAATATGTACGTGCCGATGAGGAGAACACGAGGACACGGTCGTCGTATATTGAATTAGAAATTGGACGAACGCGTTCGTACAATTAACCCAAGTGGCCCAATGGAATTTCCAATCTCGCATTCGAAAAGCTAATTTAATCACGCGCCCTTTGACCGTCGCGCTCGTCTCCTTTAAAAGTATATCAACGTAATTGAGATGCAAATTAATGAAAATTCTAACTTTATCGGCTTTTGAGCAGTGAACAAATTTTGTTTCCAATTTAGAAATAATATAGCTTACAAAATTGAAGAATGTATTTTACTCTTCAATATTCCGTCAAGTTTTTCAACATAATTAAAAAATCCATCGTTTACATAAAATAATCTTCTCATATCTCGTTCTATTTTATCGTATCGTATATTATTTAAAATATAATGTATTTATATAAAAATATTTCAATATTATATTCAAGCTGCAGCTGATCCTGTTGGCAACCGATATTAATCGACTAATATTAATCTTGATAACGATTGCTCGGAATCGATCTCGGAAGCGTTCTACGTTTAATTGAAGTCTTCTCAGAACGGGTAGATGATGAGACCGTGTACCGTCAGACAAGGATACGCGCTAGGAATTCGCAGAATAATATAGGGTGATCCATTAAATCGGCCTCCCATCGGAATTTCCATATCCATCTTGAGCCGCTTAACTTGGCGGCGATCGAACGTGGATGGGATCCTTTGATCCGAAGTAGAATCGGTCTTGCGCATTATTAAGGATGCTCGTTTGCTCCGAGGGAACAGAAGAGAGAGAGGGCGGGAGGAGAGAGAGAGAGAGAGAGAGAGAGAGAGAGCAGAGTATAGACAAAAGAGGGAGAAGGAAGGGGGAAGGGATAAACCGAGGAGAGGGCCACGAACAGCGCATTTCGATTATGCGGCGTGCATGTCGAGAGCGTGCATACGTGCGCACGGTTGAGATGCAATGGGATGCTGCCGCATCGCGATGTTCGTTGCATCACGCTTGCGAATTCCGCAACCACTCCGATCAAGAATTCGCGAATGAGAAGCACTTCGTAACCGCTGAACGCGCTTTCGATCTCGACGCAAAGCAAAAAGCATTGCTTCATACTGTCCACGATAAGTGGACCGAGAGAATCGGCTGATTTATAACTCTTTACCCGGCAGAGTCTTTGAAAATACAGATTCTTGTCATCAAATTGACCGCGACCATTAAATATTGTTAAAAAGATCGCGCTTGAGTTCCTGATCGTGATGATTTCTTTTGTTAGGCGATTCTAAGGGAAAACTTTCGAATTGTCTTTCGAATTGTCGTTATGACTTTTAAATATCCTTTGACACGCTTACTGCTCTCGGAAAAGCGAATGAAGGAAACTCAGAAAAAAAGGGATAAAACCGTGGTCGCGATAGCGGATAGTTACTTTAAAGATGCTCGAAGGGAGATTCATAAAACGAACTAAGACAAGCTCCCCTTCTTACTTCCCCTTTCTCTTCGCGTTAACTTTCTTTGTAGTTTGTCTCTCCCTTTACGGTCTGCGTGTATATATTTACAACACGCGGAGATCCCTTGTTTCAGAGTACAATAAACGTATATACGCGCGACGCGTACATAAAATTTTCTTTGAAACGCGCGTCGCGTGGTTATTACGTGTTCTTTTTTTTTTTAGAGAAGAAAACGCGGGACAAATAAGGGGATTGCTGTTAAATAAGGATGAGAGTATATTAAATTTGTTTCATTCCTGACAAGCTTCTAAAAATAATAAAGAGATGAAGAAAGTAATGTAGTCTATCAAATTATAAGATAAAAAATTTAAATAACGGTTTACACACGCGTACATTTGAAACTTTATTTTGTTGAAAAAATATGAATAATAAAGTCTACCGATATTTTTGCAGAGTAGCCATAAAAGCATGTTTGTACTTTGCTTTAAATTTCTGAACGTTATTAAAATTCTGGAATATTTTCGTTTAATGTTTCGTGAATTAAACGTCGAAAATCGCATTAAGAATGTTTTGGTTATACAGCTATCTACTATACAACTATAAAAATATCAGTAATAAAAATATCAATATCATTCAATATCTCTCAAAAATTTTATCGTAAATCGTAAATACGTCCTAAAACTAACTGCAAAAGCAAAATAAGAAATTATTTATGTGCTTATAAAGTGCAGTTATAATATTCTATGATTTTAAGTAAGTAACATTTAAACGAGCAAATGTATTCAAATGAACTTTTACACAAATATTTATTAGAGTTTTATATGTATATATATATATATAATTTGATTTAATTCGTAATGTTATTTATAAAATTTGTAAATAAATATTACAAAATGCAATTTTACTTCAAAAATCAAAGCAAACAAAAAATTAAATAACTTTTAAATTAATCAGAGAATTGTACTTAAATTTTACACTGCAGATATTCAAACGTAATAATAGAACAACCTTTGTAATGTTTACAGTTTTGATAATGTTTTAAGTTATGATACATACATCTTTAAAACTTTCAATCCGATCCAATGGAACACACAAGTATCGTATGTTCAATTAATCGTCCTCTTAAAGTGAATGGCAAAAATAATTTGGCAGCGTTCAGAGATCCATTGAAAAGCCTGTGATTATTAACTCTGTCGTAGCATCGGAAACTGTGTTATGCGACAAAAAGCTACGACTTCCGCCAATAAAGCATTAAAAGAGTTTGACGCGTTAATGGAACGAAATTGTGGAGAAGGAAGACAGCTGATATATATATATACGAAGTGTCCTTCGAATGAGATTCGTTGCATCCGGCTTTCAATTCTTTTGACCAATTTATTTCTTTCGATTAAAATCAAATCTATCAATTATTTTAAAATTATAAACGATTAAAATACAATAATATTCTTCAAGAATTATATTTTTGAAATGCAAATTAAAATGGAGTTTTATTTAATTTTAAAGAACTTTCATAAAATTTCAAGCTTTTTTAATACAGAGATGATTAATACAGAGATGGTTGATCGTTTCAACATGATATATCAAATGGTCAATCAAATTTGCGCTAAAGAAAGACGACTTGAAACATTAATCAATAAATGTCTACGTAAACACCTTGTATATGCGAGTAAAACTGCCTGTTATAAGCATTCTTGATGATCACGAAAGTTATACGGAATGCTTTCAGCGAATGAATATATATATGGTATTTCAATGGTTCCAGTCCCTTACCCAATTCTGTCTGATGTTTCTGTCGTTCTTCTACGATGGCACCCGCAGCAGCCCTCGTCACCGTGG